AAAAAAAAAAAAAATAACAGTTAACATATCAATTAAGTGTGGACCCTTATCATCAGAAAGTGAAGACACTTAACATATCAGCCAAAAATTCAAATAAATTTTGTTGCTTAGAGTGTAGACCCTTAACATAAGAAACAAGCTGCCACTATCTTATAAGAAACACACTATAAGGAATGTACCAAGAAAAACCAAACCATATCATAAGACTCAAAGCATAAAAACAAACACATAAGATATGTACAGAGACAAAAAACAAAGTTCCACCATCTAGAGTGTGGACAACCAACAACACACAATATTTATGTACCAGTAGAACACGGTAATGAAAAAATACTTCAATTAATCATATAAATTACCTTATATGTTATTCCTTTGTGTGAATCTTGATTGTGCTCTGTGACAGCAGTTTTGTCCATTTTTTTCTTCTTCAAAACGTTGACTTTGTCTCCTTCTTTTTTGGTCAATTTTTTCCTTTTTTTCGTCGGCATTTCAACCGGGAAGTCGTCTTCTTCCAATTTTTCTTCGCTTCCGGAATCGTCTGGTTGGCTTTCACACTCGAAATTAGGGTCTTCATCGCTCAGAACTCGTGTCTGCTTCTTCGGTTTACGATGTGAACGAGTTTTTTCCAGTTTGTTTGGGACTGACTGGAAATCGTCTGAACTGGTAGAAGCCACCGGATTTTTCATTCTCGCCTTGGCGTTTAACTTGCGATTAGGTTTAGGGTTCAATTTTTTATCGAAAACCAGTTTCTTTTGTACGAGCTTTGGTTGGTTTTTTTGGAGGATTTTACGGATACGGGCACTAGATCTTAAGACCGGTGAATCGTCGCCAACATCTGCCGGATCTCTTCGATTAGTATGAGGGAGCTTTGTTTTTGCCATTGATTCTTGGAATGGGCGAAAAAAAATGGGGCGGTTTCAGAAAAAATTATGACGGGGAGAAGGTGGGGGGGGTTAATTTCACCTTTTTGTTCTCCACTCTTTTTGGTATAAGATATTTAAAAATCCCGTAATTATCTCCTTAGCATTAAAATCATGTTATTAAGTGTTAAGTTTGATTTTAGGTATATTTGATAATTTTTAAGCTTATTTAGATAAAAATAAAAATAAGTATATTTATACTTGAAAAGTGTAATAAAATTTAAAGGGCAATGTAAGGGGTGTAATTTCCTCTAAGTGAACTGCATATTTATTATTTGGTTGAAAGTTCATTATTGATCATCATAATGTTAGCTTTGTATTAAATTTTTCTGTTTATTATACATTTACCTAAGTGTTAATATCACTAAATAACCATATAAATTTACAAAATTTTACCTAATAACTGTTTCGTTTACAATTCCATGATCGGGTTTTGTCGAGACACAAAATTCAGACGTATTCAAAATTTTCTACATTTTTAACTTAGTTCGACTCATTAAATCCTAAATTCGGCTCTTTAATATTAATAAACAAGTCGAGTATAGCTCTATATTTTCCATTATATCTTGGTAGTTGACTCATTTGTCCTTTGTTCAAGACTTGAGCATTAATAGTTGTTGGATTTTTTTTGTAGACACAAAGAACCGTGGCCCGCTACACAAACCGGTTGGGTTGGCATTCACGCGACCGTGCTTGCCATCAAATAAGCTTATAATATATTTTAGGGAAATGCTAAGGTCTCGTAACGGAACTATTCCGTCGGGTTTTGTAATCGTAAGATCATCATGTAACCGTCATAGATAGTTGATCTAACGGTTATAAAAATCCCGACGGAATGATTCTGTAATGGAACCGTAGCATCTTCCTATATCTTATGTGGTCCAAAGGATGAATTTAAATGGATCAGTTTTATCAACAAAACATCAAAAATTAAAACCACATAAATTGGTCAAAGATTAAAGTGATCAAGTGTGGTCATGCCAACTCTCATGTCCCAAACATAACTCCCATTGTACATATATACAATCAAATTATCAATATTATGTCATGTACATAAATTTGGTGGGACTCTTAATGCATACTTTATTGTGTATTAGGTCTCCAATTGAAGGTAGTGTTGTTCTGGGACAGACATATATTAATCAATATAACCAAACTTCCTCAAGAGAAGAAAATTCATATATACACATATAATTTGCATGAGTGGTGTTGGTGCTAAGAAAGGGGAAATTGGGTTTATTCAACTCTATAAGTTATACAAATTCTTGTGTGATCCGGTTTACCTGTTACCGCCAATTGATAAGCCGCGCTCTTTCTTAATAAAAATGCATATTTATATTAAAAAAACGTCATTATTCTATTTATACTATTTTCTAGAGTACGACATTTAAGTTTGAAACTATATTATGTACATATGTTTGAAAAGTACGAACTGCCTAACAATATTATTAATCGTTACGTCTGCCTAACAACAATCTTAATAATATTTTGTATTTTATGTATACAAATATAATATATAAGTTTGCATGAGTGATGTTGGTACTTGAAAGGAAATACCGTTTGTTCAACACTATAACTAAAAAAATAAAAAATAAAATAAAAAAAGGTAAATATTGTGTAGTGTGTGTTGTATGAGTTGTCATGAAAAGGGGACAAAACATGTATGAAAGTCGAGAAGAGCACGAGGAATTGCCTTAACTTTTAAAGGAGAGGGAGGAACAAGTGTTTGTTTGCATTAGAAATTCAGGATCTTTGACTCAGATCCATTTCCATTTGAATATATATCTTCTTCGGGATATTCTACGGTTCAGTTATGGAACCATTTCGTCGAAATTTGTAACCGTTAGATCAACTATCTACGACAGTTATATGATGATCTAACGATTATAAATCCCGATAAAATGATTCCG